TGTACTGCAGAGGGCAGTATGCGTAATTAAGTCGAAAAATGTGGCCTGGTCCGTAAAAGGCTTTGGTCCCAGAAGGCAGACAAAAAATCTGCATGGTCGTCAATGTGTTAAGGACAAACCTGCACAATTAAACTCGGGGGGAACACGCAATATCCACTATACTCTGCTGGTATTTGAGGTCAATAGATTGTGTTACATACTCTTCTTCGCCTCCCTTCGTTGCAAATGCCTTCCAGACCCAAAAGTAGACTGTATTCGTACTCAGACTTAGGATAATATCATTACTATGCGGGCATACTCGATGTTCCATAGCCCTTTCAACACACAATAACGAAGATCACCGATTCATAATTCTGTATAACATACGTCTTGTCTCACTTTAATTAGGTCGTTCCATAATTTCGTACCGTTTTTATGAACCAACAAAATGACGGAATTTTGTCAAAATTTGATTGGTACTACTTTATTTGGTGCGTACAAACATCTGCCACTTTTCATCAAATTTCGGGCCCCACTTTTTTTTTCAGCATTCTGCAGATTTGGTCTCCCAAAAAAGTCGTCTAACCAGCGCCTGAGATCGTATTCAGAATCGAGACAAGCATCGTTTATATGGTTTGTCAAAAGAACGGAACAAATGATAATCTGATAGATTGAGATTTGCGAAGTAGGTTATGTATTGAAGTACCTTCTTGTCAAGTCTTGCAAAGAGACTTGACAAGAAGATTTCAGAGTCTGACTAATAAGGAAAAGTAGCCTATGGCAACTGCCTTGTCTCGAGGTGGGTGTTGCGAAGTTTTTCTCGGATGGTTTGGAAATGGATTATTCTCTTCGAAACACACGAATACACATACAAAGACAGACAGTGAGCTTTATATTGAATCGTTCTAAAAGTTCCTTCCGTGTTTTTTCGACTTGTCATAAAAACCCGAGAATGACGATGGCTGAACACTTTGAAAACTATTCGACGCAATCTTCTTTGCCTTTTCAGAAATCAGCTTTGCATATATATTTGCTTTTGGCCGCTAAAATAATGCCGACATCCAACTTTTGGCAATTTTCGAAATTTTTAGTCTCGACTTCTAGGGGAGCTTGGTAGGTGGATTGAGTAAGCAAATGGAATACAAGGAATGTTATGGCCATTTCCGACTCCGACTTCTACTTCCAGTATTTTTCAAAATAGGTCTCAGAAGTCTCCACTTTCGCAAAGTAGTGTGATACACAAACGCAACATACTTTGAGAAATCTTCGGAATTACGGCGTACGGCAATTGTGACCGCTCATCAACGATAATAGGAAAAAAAGCTGCAACGATCCACTACCCAAATTGATGTCGGTCGATTTGTGAGGTCTGGCTTGATTGAGCAGGGAATTCGTTAACTATAGAAAAATATTAGGTCGTCCCGAAAGAAAGTGAACGTGGGAGAGGAAAAATTTGTTTTGTATCCTATAGGGATTGCTCCATTTTTTCGCTACTTAAAGTTCTTCTTGGTTTGTTGAAGCAAAATAAAAATGATAAAACCTGCAGCTAACGCCGCCAAGATCTTTTATGTTCTGCGTCATGTGGTGCTTGTTAAATAAAACTAAATCATCTTTGTGACAATCTGAAAATTTTCGTCATTCTAAGCTTTGTTTGCTCTATTTTTTGTCAGCTTTCTCATGCTGTTTGTGCTGTTTGCTCATTCCTGGACCTCTTAATTTATGCAACGCAAAATGCCAAGTGTCGTCTGCCAACTTTTCGAATTCGAATGAGTCAAATCTTTTCTAATCTCTCGTCACATCTTTTGGGCTTGAATTTTCATTTGTGCAGAGATTTCAATGTTGTTTGATGGGTCGAACAGAATATATGTGATCAGTCTAAAAACGGCCCAATATTCAATTTTGAAGAGCTTGTCAACGTTATCTAGTGTATCAAGTGTATTCTGTCCCGGATCAAATAATTTTTTTTATTTGAAGAGCCTCTAATACTAGCTGGAATACTCGAATTCGTCTGGTCGCTGTCGATATATCACAGTAGAGCCCAACACTACTACACTCCTGCACACAACAACCTGCCCCTCCCCCGTTTCTATTATTAGTGCACAGTCCTGCCCCCTTCCCATCCACCTCCTCTGCCTACCAACTCATGCATCTCCAGCTCAGCATTTAAGGAAACTGACAGAAGAAATCCGATAAATAATGTTACGAATGGCTCGTACTTCCATAATCAGCATGCTCATTTTTCCCACTTGCACGCATTTACGGTTTTGACATCAGAGATACATATACAAAGAGGCTACAAATATAAAAAGGCTGCATATCTCTGCGGAGCTAATTTGGACCACTCGCACTATACGGCTAATTAGTCACGATTTTACGGCTAATTCCCTCTCAGTTCGCCTCCATCTCAGTTTGTCACTAACATGTTTTTATTTTTTGTAGCTTGCATGCATGAATCCGTGCAAAATTCCCACAGAAATATCAAGTTGTCCCAAAGGTTTTGTCGCTTTTCTTCATTGCTCACCGAAACACACAGAACACCAATCCACGGACGATCTAAATACCATTCTGTTCAGATTTTATCCCCTTTCTTACAGCTATATTTGATCTGTGATCTACCCTGTATTTGCGATTTTATCGTCATGGTTTTTTGAGCAGCTCAGCAGTAAGCCAAATCTTTCTTGAATTTTAAAGGTTTTATACTGATATTTTCAAAGGGCGTTGGTAACTGTCATGTAGAGCAAAGTTTTGGCTATATTGTACCCATTTTAGATTAGATAGGCCAGTTTACCAAGTCCGCTATAATTATTTATTTGAGAAACCGCAGCTTTTTGATTACATTTACCGTGTAAAAGTAGCGAAAATTTTAAAAAGCTGCTTTTCAAAGCAAATTCAACTTGGTTCACAAAAATAATGTTTAATAAGAACCATGTTCCAATTCACAGAAATTTCAGAAGTGATTTGCTGCAGTTGTGTGTTTCATGACATTGCCAAAAATCGAGACCTCCGAAGAAATAATTTTTTGAAGCTAAAAACAGCAGATTAGGAGAATCTAAAAATATTGTCTTGTAGTCCGAGAACTGCTCTATTTGATCCATACATAGTAACTCTTTCCGAAGCTTTGGATTGAAATTTTGAAAATTAGCTCAACATTGAGCAGATAAAATTGACGGGTGGAGAATTTTGGCAATTATCAAATAAAGCATGCAAGATTGTGGTTCGTAATTGTATTCATAAGAAAGAGAAGGAAAAACCGCATCGAAAGCATGCTGAGACTCGCTCAGGTCTTTATTGTGCTTTTTTTTGTAGTAGTTTGAAAAAACCAACAAAACTTTCGGGACAATCTAATATAAAAAATCAAGCAAAGCAGTGAAGCCGAATCTGCAAACTGCACCTTATGTTTAGCTGCTAAAGCTGGGTGCTTAGAGTACTATAAATAGCAGAGTGTTTAGTTATGAAGCGTTCCGAATTCTCTTCAGTTTAATTTGACTTACATGGTCGCGTGAATCGGGCGACAGTCGCCTGAGTTACTAATGCCAGATTGCAGCGACATCACTATAGCGTAGCCATACCTCGCTTCAGTGCGAACGAATTCCAAATCCAACAAATCAATCCCCAACTTGGCGCGGTGCATATCTTTTGATGTAGTGTCAGTGGATATACGGTAGAAAGTCAATCTACACAATCTAGGGGGCTGGAATTTGGCAGAGGGGTGTAATCGAGCATGCTGATCACCCCCACGGGGGTGATCAGCATGCTCGATTACCCCCTGTGCCAAATCCCAGCCCCGTAGCTCAAGCTTTGCAATAAATCGATAAAATCGATAAAAGTAATGCACGATTTTAAAAACTAATATTGTATTCGGAATCCCCATGCTCACTTACCCCCCTGTGCCAACTCCCAGCCCCGTAGCTCAAATTTTGCAAAAAAACAATAAAATCGATATCGATCGATGACGAAAAGTAGCCTATGACACCCGCCGGGGCCCGAAGTGTATGTGTGCCAAGTTTGGTTCGGATCGGTTCAGAAACGGAATTTTCTATTCGGAACATACGTACATACAGACATACATATCGTGGATCCCCCAGAACTGTGCACATATGAACCACCGCGCGCGCGCACGCGCGCGACGCCGCCTGCTCGCCCGATTCGCAGCACCTGTTTTTCTCTTTCCATCCGCATTTTTCAAAATTTTTTACAGTTTTTGCTCTTCCGGCATAGAAAGTGTACGGCAGCAAGGGTCCTTCGAAAGAATTTGCTCCGCTATGGTCGACTTTGCGGGAATAAACTCGCACTCCTTTGTTATTTGCTGCTAAATGTTCTTGACATTGGCAAGGCCTCAATCTACTTCAGCTTTTTGTGTTTCTTTTTTACTATTACAGTGCTTTTATGATGATTTGTTGATGTTAGCAGCTAAAGCTAAAAGTAAAATCTCATCTTGCTCACTGCACATTCCCAAAATTGTGATCTCGTACCTAATTCATCATCCTATCGACTACATTACTGCAAGAGAGGTTATGATCACGTTCTTTTGATGTAATGCTCTGCACGATGACGATGCTTGAACCCCGGATGTTACTTGGCCAAAAGTCTGTTCAGCCTGTTTGAGATTTTGCAGGCCTGCTTACGCATAAGATTATTTATCTCGAAAACCTTTTTTTGTACCTTTCCGTTCTTTATGAAGTTTTGTGGGCCAATCGTTTCGTCATCATAACACTTCATTTCCGAAAGTATTGCAGATTTGTAATTCGTTACATAATCCACTAAATGGGTACCTATGTTCAGGGAATGGCTATGAGAATCATAACTATGGATCTGACTGTTGTGGTTACTCATTTTTTCGTTCGTCATTGGCATTGCATGGCTTCATCGTCAGCGCTCACTGCTGAAGGTTCAATTTCAAGTTTCTTTTTTCCTTACTTGCCTCTGATAACCCTTTTAGTGATTACTATTTTTGGACTCTCGAACCAAATCGAGGCATTACCGCAGAGTCTTGCCAGGATTGTCATTTATCAGTACGACTTATGAATTTCAACGACAAACTCTATTCAAAACAAGGAATCCACAGGTTCCTTCCAGATCTTCATATTTTGTTGTTTCTGGAACATCTTTTTGAAGAATTTGGACTTTGAACGTAGCCTTGCGTGATGTACAGTTTGTCACAAGGCATCCTCAAAATAGTATTTCAGTAACACAGTCAAATATATTTTATCTTCAGCATATATTATCTTTGTTTCAGCCTAACAAAAGGGCACACTGAATATGTCGAGGTACTTAACGCCTTTGGAGGAATCTACACTGGACAGCTTCGAAGCAATGCTGGCACGATAAGAATGAGTATGTGCTTAGAGTCAAAGGTATGTGGTGCTAGCTTGCCTTTATTTATATGAATTTGTTTTATGCAGGCTAGGATTGAACTTCTACCGCCCTTTGTGGGTTGTTGCGGTGCAAAACTATAGCCACTAAAGCTTTCTCCATTGGTTACTCTCAGGTGTGTCTCCTATCCTCCAAAGTATTCTGAGACATAACTGCTATTTCACAGGTTGATGCTCTGTCACTATTACTTGCAGTCGCCTTCGATACAATCCCTTACGAAAAGCAGAAGAAGTGAACAATCTCATATGAGAAAGCGTGGTTTACGCTCAATACTGAGTACAGCCTACGTTGCCTTCAACCTCGCTTCCCATAGCTTGATTTCATCATATATCACCTATTTACTAGTTTGTTGATTGATTTTGATTTGTTGATTTTTGACGCTCTTGAAAACAGCCGATTAAAAACACATTCTTCGTTGTCTGCCTGTATCTATTATCTCCGTGACTTTCTTTTATCGGATCGCATACTCACAGATTGCTATGCATTGTCATTAAATCCGCTGAACATTATGTTCTGTAACTGTCCTAGATTCAAGTGCTGATAGTAGATGGTTGCTAATAAACATGATAGCGTTCTCTATTGTATAATGAGCAGCTGACATTTTGAGACAAAAGACCCTTTTCAAAAGAGTGTTCTTCCAAAAAATGTCCTTTGACACTACATGCTCTGATACAAGAATAGGCACCCAATCATAATCTCTTGGAGTACAAGACCAGTAAAATTTTCTCATTTGAGTTGAATGTTTCTGAGGAAATACATTTCCTTGAATGTTCAAGCTCAGGAAATGCCTTGCCAATGTCAAGAACCCTGACACTCAGATTTCAGCGAGTAGCAAAGAAAGAAATGTGTATCTCAAACCAAATCGTTTGGTAGCATCTCGCAAACGTTGCTGAATCTTCAATGGCAATTTGAAAACACACAGCTACAAACCAAATGAGAAAGCAGCAGTGTCTTAATAGACAACAGCATTAGTGCAAAAAAGCACTGTAATCGTAAAAAAGAAACACAAAAAGCTGAAGTAGATTGAGGCCTTGCCAATGTCAAGAACATTTAGCAGCAAATAACAAAGGAGTGCGAGTTTATTCCCGCAAAGTCAACCATAGCGGAGCAAATTCTTTCCAAGGACCCTTGTTGCCGTACACTTTCTATGCCGGAAGAGCAAAAACTGTAAAAAATTTTGAAAAATGTGGATGAAAAGTGAAAAACAGGTGCTGCGATCGAATCGGGCGAGCAGGCGGCGTCGCGCGCGTGCGCGCGCGCGGTGGTTCATATGTGCACAATTCTGGGGGATCGACGATACACACAGACAAACAGAAATTCAGCTTTATATATAAGATATCACAGGGATCGACCCCGCCCTCACAGGCCTTGCGACTACTGCTCGTGCGATGTGCTTTAACGCACAGCAGTGTTCGCACATATTACATACAATACCGCTCACATTTTTTGAAAAATAGACGCGAATGTATGGACATGTGTGGACATGTCCGTTCATGTCCATACATGTATGGACATGTCCGTACATGTCCGTTCATGTCCATACATCAGCGTCGCGTGGCCATATCTCGCTTCACAGTGGACGAATTTTGAATCCAAAGCCATCATTCGATTCAGCTCCGCGCGGAAAATCTTCTGATGTATTGGAAGTGGGGGTACGATGTCTTCGATATTCCGTTTCCCAGTTTTTTCAATTTGTTCTGCAGAGGTCCTTTCGCGAATATGTGAAGCAACGCCTATCCAACATAGAAGACTTTACTAAGCACTGTTCGATAATACTGTTCTTGTAGATTATTGTGCGCTAAAAAATAGGCTCAGACTCTTTTCCAAAGGAGATAGAAGCGTTGGTGAATTTTGGAAAAATCACGCGTTTTTAAATTCTACTCGCCATATCCGCAGGATACGAAGCTATCTTGCTAAGCAGGTATGAGTTTCGAAATCAGCAGGTCGCATAACCTCTACGAGCAAGTTTTCCGATATGTTCGGGTCATTTCATTTTTTCTCGTTTTACGCTCCCGGAAGCTCGCCGATGGATTTTGGTCAAAATGCTGATGCTCTTGAATTGTAAGGAAACTTCGCTTATAGAGGTTTTCGAATACGCTCTTTACGAAAATCGTGGTCCTTGAGGATCACAAGGTCTTTTTGGAGAGATACGGTGAGGTGATTGTAACTGCATCACGAAAGTGCGTAACTTTGGCCGCACTTCTCGCGTATGTGTCAGAAACTTTGCCTGCTTGCTTTTCTCAGTCACAGTTACTAGGAAATGTGCTATCGAATGGTGCATTACTCAGGCTCCAGTCTGTGAAATTCGCCGAGTTACGAGCCTACGAAAACACGTCCTCACGAATTTTGCCCAAAATGAAAGATTGCATATTTCATCAAAATTCCTCCGTGAGCGCTTGTATGGCGCTCGTTGCAGATATTTTGTTCGCTTCGTCTCCAACGACTCCCACTTTATTGAATATGGTGCTTGCGTGTGCTTCAGCTGCTCGATTAAATATCAAAGCTATTTCGTGGCTAGAGCTCAAAGCACCAAATCTAACACAATAAGATCCATTGAAAATGTGGAAGGACTTGATCAGCGTGTTGCACAAGCGCTCACGGAGGAATTTTGATGAAATATGCAATCTTTCATTTTGGGCAAAATTCGTGAGGACGTGTTTTCGTAGGCTCGTAACTCGGCGAATTTCACAGACTGGAGCCTGAGTAATGCACCATTCGATAGCACATTTCCTAGTAACTGTGACTGAGAAAAAAAAGCAGGCAAAGTTTCTGACACATACGCGAGAAGTGCGGCCAAAGTTACGCACTTTCGTGATGCAGTTACAATCACCTCACCGTATCTCTCCAAAAAGACCTTGTGATCCTCAAGGACCACGATTGTAAAGAGCGTATTCGAAAACCTCTATAAGCGAAGTTTCCTTACAATTCAAGAGCATCAGCATTTTGACCAAAATCCATCGGCGAGCTTCCGGGAGCGTAAAACGAGAAAAAATGAAATGACCCGAACATATCGGAAAACTTGCTCGTAGAGGTTATGCGACCTGCTGATTTCGAAACTCATACCTGCTTAGCAAGATAGCTTCGTATCCTGCGGATATGGCGAGTAGAATTTGAGACGACAAGATTTTTCCACAATTCACCAGCCGTTCTATTTCCTTTTAAAAGAAACCTGCGGTTACTATATAGCACATCATAATCTACAGAAAAAGTGCTATCGAAAGATCCTTGCTGAAATGCACTCGGGACAATGCTCGCTGCATTACACCTTCGCGAAAAGACGTCCTCAGAAAGATTCAAGAATACTGAAATCGAAATATCAAGGACATGCTGTATATGAAAAGATTCGCCTTGATGAGCTGAGCAAGGCGCAGTTTTCGGATTCAAAATATACTTATTCCGAAGGAAGTTATGGCGAGTAGAATTTAAAAACGCGTGATTTTTCCAAAATTCACCAACGCTTCTATCTCCTTTGGAAAAGAGTCTGAGCCTATTTTTTAGCGCACAATAATCTACAAGAGCAGTATTATCGAATAGTTCTTAGTAAAGTCTTCTATGTTGGATAGGCGTTGCTTCACATATTCGCGAAAGGACCTCCGCAGAACAAATTGAAAAAACTGGGAAACGAAATATCGAAGACATCGTACCCCCACTTCCAATATATCAGAAGATTCTCCGCGCGGAGCTGAATCGAATGGTGGCTTTGGATTCAGAATTCGTCCACACTGAAGCGAGGTATGGCCACGCGACGCTGATGTATGGACATGTCCATACATGTATGGACATGAACGGACATGTACGAACATGTCCATACATGTATGGACATGTCCGTACATGTCCATACATGTCCATACATTCGCGTCTATTTTTCAAAAAATGTGAGCGGTATTGTAGCATCGCCGCTAGTCGTCGCAGACGCGGCGTTGCATAACCGATGATGTTTGATACATCCTGTAGGTTATGCAAGAGCCGTGACTGACTGCTACTTCACGCCTAAGTACCTAAGGCATACCTTCGCGATTCCCTCAGATTGTTAGATCTACGCGACTTGGTGATTTGTCAGATGTCTTCAGACTTCTCGTGTGCGGCTCCTAACGCACGTAATTTTCGCGAGTTGTCACGAACGCATCAAATCTTGCCCAAGCATTGTGCGCTTTTGACCAATTATCAAAGAGTCGCTGCAGTGGCATTTCGCGCAGCGACCGAAATCGGGTGTATGCCCTTCTCGCTTCGTCCTAGCGCTAATTACTCCTCCTTTCTTATAATCTATCAGAGTTTTCAAATATTTCTGAGCATTTCAAAGCAAGCAAGGCACACGAAGGTAGTGACGATGTATGAATTATGAAGACAAAAAGTTGGAAAAGATGTATGTTTTTTTGCGTTAATCGCGTTAGGTATGCCCTAGGCCTTACTCATAATATCTGTAGTAAATATAATTTACCACTAGGTATAAGTATGATATTCGCGACTGATACCACCATCTTTCTCTTAGGGTGGCATGTTTATGACATCACTAGCTGGCTTACCCGGCTCCGCCGTATGTTCCGAATAGAAAATTCCATTTCTCAACCGATCCGGACCAAACTTGGCACACATACACTTCGGGCCCCGGCGGGTGTCACAGTCCACTTTTCGTTATCGATCGATATCGATTTTATCGATTTTTTGCAAAGTTTGAGCTAGGGGGCTGGAATTTGGCAGAGGGGTGTAATCGAGCATGCTGATCACCCCCACGGGGGTGATCAGAATTTTTGCAAAAAATCGATAAAATCGATATCGATCGATGACGAAAAGTAGCCTATGACACCCGCCGGGGCCCGAAGTGTATGTGTGCTAAGTTTGGTCCCGATCGGTTCAGAAATGGAATTTTCTATTCGGAACATACGTACATACAGACAGACATACAGACATACAAACAGACATTCAACTTTATATAGAAAGTTGCAAAAGAGAACTTCTATGGTTGCTACAGCGTATCAGTGTTTTCCCAAGCAAAGTAAAGAAGACTAGCAGGATTAGCTTCTCGAAACCTATTCTATCTCATATATTACCGTTACTGTTATTACCGATGCAAAATAACCGTAACCAGAAGAATGCATCTACCGAGATCCAAGTACTGGGAAGAATGCAGACTATTACTTGGGTGGATCCTGCATCCCAATGTCAAGTCAGAGAACAATCTCATTTTGTGATGATAGCTTTGAACTATACTTTTTTGATCAAATTTATATTTCAACCACGCAACACTCTCGTTCTGATGCTATCACATATGAGCTTTCCCTTCATTCAACCCGTTGACGTCGTGGACCACTAGTGGTTTTGCCAC